AAAAAAAAAAAAAAAAAAAAAAAGAAAACAACAACAACAAAAAAAGTAGTAGTAAAATATAAAGCGGCTTGAAGTACAAGATATCTCTTTAATCTTTCACAGCGTTGGTAAAATTGCATCATGATAGCAAACACTTGATGTCTCTAAATCTCTCTCTAAAATTTTCCCTCCTTTCAGATCATAAAAATTATATAAAATATAAGCCAGGTATTGTGGTACACACCTGAGATTATCTAAAAAAATACATAGAAATATATCAAATAAAATATAAGGGTGGGAGAGTTTTGAATTAATTTACTTTGTAATTCCAAAATCCTTTTTTTTCCATTTTCACATGTGCATGTATGTAGTATGCATTTTTGCATGTATTAGAGTTTATGTGCACATGTGCAAAAGTGCGTGTAGAAGTCCGAGTTTCATAACAGGAATCATCCTCAGTCACTCTTCTACCTTTTTTATTGAGGCGAGGTCTCTTAATCAAACTCAGAGCTTGCTGATATGGCTAGTCTTGCCAGCCAGGCTGTATTTATGTGGGTTCTGGGGATCTGAACTCGTTTTCAAGCTTACATGGCAAGTGCTTTAACCATTGAGCCATCTCCCCAGCTCCAATCCTTTATTAAAATTGTATTTATGCCAGGTGTGGTAGCATATGCCTTTAATCCAAGGATTCAGAAGACAAAGGCAGGCAGGTATCTGTGAATTTGAGGCCAGGCTGGTCTACATATAGAGTTTCAGGATAGCCAGGGCTACATAATGAGACCCCCACCTCAATAAAAGAAAAAAACAAAAAATGTTATTTATTATTGTTATGTGTGTCTTTATATGTGTGCACATGCATACATGATTAGGGTGGGGAGTGTATGTGCCACAGGTGTGTGTGGAGATCAGAGGACAACTTTGTGGAGTTTCTTCTTCCACTTTTATGTGGGTTCTGGGGGATCCAACTCAGATTACTGGGCTTGTGTAGCAAGTGCCTTTACCACTGAGCCATCATGCTGGCTCAGTTGCTTCTTTCTGTTGTTGTTTGGGGAGCTTTTGTTTGTCTCACTCTATAATCCAGGCTATCCTTGAATTTAGAGCATTTCTCCCACTATAAGCCTCCTGAGTACTGGGATTATAGGTGTCAGCCACAGCCTGGCAACAGAGTTTGCTTTCTTTCTTTTTTGGTATTGCTGGGATCCACCCGAAGGCCTTCTGCATGCTAAGCGAGTGCTCTTCCACAGCTCCAGCTGTTTTTTAATTTCTTTGAGACAAGGTCCTGCTCTGTAGTCCAGGCTGGTCTGGGACTCATAATCTTCCTGTCTTAGACTCCTATGCTAATATTATATTTTGTAATTCTATTTATCACCTGAGCAAACATGGTTATAACTGTCATAGCCTGTATATTAATCAGAGAGGTTTTTTTTGTTTTTTTTTTTTAATATAGACTTTGTCCTGAAAATTCTCCCTTTTTGGAAAAGAAAGAATTATATGAAGCTCACCCTTGGTTTGAATTTTTAGTTCAATGTCGACAAGTTTCCAGTAACTTAACAGGTATGGATATACTATATTAAATAAAAACTGCTCTTTAGATAAGCAGTGATTCTACTGAGTGGTATTTAACTCGTCAACTCTTTTTTTTTTATAATTTATGTGTATGAGTATATTGCCTGCATGTGTATAAGTGCACCCATATTGTGCAATGCCTACAGAGGTCTGAAGGCATTAGATCCCTTAGAACTGGAGTTGGGGATGGTTGGTAGTCGCCATGTGGGTGCTGGGAATTGAACCCGGGTCCTCTGTAAGGTCCTCTGCAGTCAGTATTAACCCCTGAGCCAGCTCTGTAGCCCTTAACTTGTCGACTCTTTAAATAAATATTTGCCTATAGTCAAATTTCTGAGTATAATCAGGCTCATACTTATGAAATAGAAAATAGAAAATGTTAGCCTCTTGCCTGCCAAGGAAAGTCAGAGTTGGAAGTAAGAACTTGTACAGTTCATTCTTCTCCCTGCTTGTGCCTTGTGGTAGATGCCCCTGCTTCAGTGATTCTATTGGTCCTTCACAGGCTGTGTTCCTGCTCTGGGGTAGATTAACAGCCTTTCTTTACAAGGAAGCCATCTGTCTTCTATGTGCATGCTCTAAATCTTCTATTTGTTTACTGATTTGTTTTGTAATACTGGATGTTTAGCCTAGGGTCTCTCAAATGCTAAGAACATGATCTGTCATTAAACTACACCCACAAATCCTTCAGTCAGGAGCTCTAAATGGAAAGAAAAGAAACTGGTGTACATGTGGAATTTTTGGGTCCTCAGTGAGGGAGCTGCTGAAATAGTCTGTTCAGTTACATCAGACAGAAAAGCCTGTTACCCTTAAGCATTTTCTTTTCTTTTAAATATTTATTACTATTTTTGTGTGTGTGCATAAGTGTATTGCCTGCATATAGGTAGGTGTACCCATGTTGTAAAATGCTCACAGAGATGAGAAGAAGGTGTCTGATTTTTGTTGCTCACTTTTGGTGCTCGTTACAAAGTAACACGTGTTCATTGTCTTTCTGTTTTTTTGATCAACAAGATGATACCTCCATAGGTAGACAGCCCAGGCAGATAGGAAGATAAGCACTCATAGTTAACGACTGATAATACTTTACAATGTTTCATTCCAGTTATTTTCCTTGTACTTTCTTTTCATTTTTCATGCCCAGTCTATTGCAGTTTTTTTTTTTTTTTTTTTTTTTTTTTTTTTTTTTTTTGGTCTTTTTGAGACAGGGTCTCCCTGTATCCCCAGCTGGCCTGGAACTCACTGTGTAGACCAGGCTGGCCTTGAACTCACAGAGATCCGCCTGCCTCTGGCTCCCAAGTGCTGAGATTACAGTTGTGTACCACCACACCCGGCCCTGCACTCTATTCGTCCAACAACTCCCTGTTGAGCCCCTGCTTTGTGATATACAACTGTTAGTGCTGAGAGCAGGACACAGAGCGTCTGTGTTTTTGTGTACTACTTTTTTGGATAATAAGAATTTCCCTGTATCCTTAGAGACAATGATCGTCTTAAATGTTAGCATAATATTTCATTCAGTGGATAGGCCCTCACTCAATTTACTGTTCTCATTTTTTGACAATAAGCTTGTTTTTCTTTTTTTTTTCCTATGAAGAATAATAGTCTTAAATATATTTTAACATAAGATGTTTACCCATGTTTCAGCTTAATTCTTTTGTACAGAAAGGTTTCTGGATGCAAAAATTACTGAATGAAAGGCTGTTGATTTTCAGGGTCTTACTGTCAGGCCCACCGCTGTTCAGTGGGGTTTTACCATTGTCCTGGGTTCTAGTCATCCTGACCAACTCCAACACTTGATGATGATTTTTATTTTTTTATTTTTGATCTTTTTGAGACAGGGTCTCCCTGTAGACCAGGCTGGCCACAGAGATCTACCTGCTTCTGCCTCCCGAGTGCTGGGATTAAAGGTGTGTGCCACCACACCCGGCTAATGATGATTTTAAATTACTCTGATATAGATGACGTGGCATCTAATTAAGTTTCCTTATTGCTACTGAGCTGTGTGTGTATATGGGCTAAGCGTTTATATTTCTTTCTTTGTAAGCTGGTTATTTCTTTTGTCCATAGGGCATTACTTCTTAAAATTGTCATTTGTTTAATTTTTCTTGCTGACTGGTTATTACCTTTTAGTTTTCTTGGTTTGAGATCTTTGAGGTTTTCCTTTCTCCACCATATCCCTTTTGTTGCTTTTAAACTTTGGAGATCCCTCTTACTGTGGATAGAGTTAAAAGTTACTTTTTTTTTTCTCAGAATTATGTGTCTCTTAATTTTGTTATTTATCCCTTTTAAGGAGAACAACAACAACAACATATTCTTTTATTTTCCAGATCCCAAACTGATCTTCCAAGCTAGTCTTGCAAATGCTCAGATTTTGATTCCCACCAATCAGGCCAGTGTAAGCAGCATGCTCTTGGAAGGCCATACCCTCCTGGCCCTTGCTACTACAGTGTATGCTCCTGGGGGCATCAGCCAGGTATGGACAGCAGTTGTACATACTGTAGCAAACTAGGATTGATTTTAAATTCAGCACAAGTAATCTGGATTGTCTAAGTTTCAGTTGATACTAAAGTACAACCATTTTCAAGTATTTCATCAGACTAACGAACATGAAATGAATTTTTAAATCCTGTATTCTAAGCCAAAAGATAACTAATGCATGAACAGAGGTTCTTTAACCCTTTAGTACGTTTTCTACAATTCCAGGATGGAACTGGGCTCTGACTACTTCTGGGAGTATGTGTATTTTAGATTTGTGGCTTGGGAATACTTCTTTGCTTCTTTTAGAAAAGTTTTTTAAAAGCATAGTTTTCAGCTTCCCACGTAAACTCCTTTGAGGAACCTCATGTGCTTGGTCAGGGGTAAGAATTCTGTCAAATGTCTCATCTTGGTTTCTTTTTTAAAATTTTTAAAGTTTTTTTGAGACAGGGTCTCCTTGTAGCCTCAGCTGTCCTGGAACTCACTATGTAGACCAGGCTGGCCTTGAACTCACAGAGATCCATCTACCTCTGCCTCCTGAATGCTGGGACTAAAGGTGTGCACCACCACCCCCGGCCTTTATTTTTATTTTATGTATATGAGTGTATTGTTTACATGTATTTAAGTGTACCTGTGTCATGCAGTGCCCACAGAGGTTAGAAGAGGGTGTCATAACCCCTGGAATTGGAGTTACAGATGGTTGTTAGCTGCCATGTGGGTGCTGGGAACTGAACCCGGGTCTTCTGTAAGAGCAGCCAGTGCTTTTACCTGCTGAGCCATCTCTCCAGCCCACATCTTAGTAGTTTCTTACTGATGGTAATTATGTCACTTAGGTTGTTGCATTGTACTTCTATGACTAAGTTACTCTTTCTTATGTTTTTAATCATCTGTTAGAGACAGTTATAGAATAATTTCACAGCTGAGAAGGTGGAAACCAGGAATTATCCACTCTGATAACACTGATTTATTTATTTTTTTGAGTCAGGGTATGCCTGTACTTTATAGCCCAGGCTGGCCTGTAACTCCCTATGTAGCCCAGGCTGGCCTTGAATTAATGACCTTTCCTATCTCAGCCTCCCAAGTGCTGGGATTATAGGTGTGCTACCATCATCTTTTAAAAAGTATTAATAATGTTTAAGTATTATAAGCATAGTAATCATGCCATTTTTTTTTCAAACAACATACAGTTTAAAAACAACTAATCTAACTCATCCTTATTTTTCAGGAAACTAAGCCTACTATTAAGTCCAAAGTCACACAGTCAGTCTTAAAATCAGATGACCACTTCTACCAATGCTATTTTCATTAGGAGTCTTATTTTCTAGTACCTAGGTTTTTTGTTTTTGTTTTTGTTTTTGTTTAGTCTTTTTTGAGACAGGGTTTCCCTGTAGCCCCTGCTGTCCTGGAACTCACTATGTAGACCAGGCTGGCCTTGAACTCACAGAGATCTGCCTGCCTCTGCTTCCCAAGTGCTGGGATTAAAGGCGTGCACCACCGCTCCCTGCCCTTAACTAGTTTTTAAACCTAAAATATTGACTATTAAACATTGCATATGTAATTTATCTTCACAGGTTATTCAGAATAAAGAAAATGAGAGCTGCTTGAAAAAAGTGGATTCCCAACTGTTGAAGATGGCCTTAACTCCTTACCCAAAGCTAAAAACTGCTCTCTTCCCACAGTACACTGCTCCTAGCATTCTGCCATCCGATGTTACACTCTACCACCTCATTCAGGTGCTATATTTAGGGAACTGGTTTTTATGTATAGGAGTCAGAGTTCTGCCAGGAAAACAGAAGACCCTCTACCTCCTTTAGGTGGCAGGCATTCAGCCACTTAAATAAGGGATTGCTTACAGGTGGCAAAGAAGAATGGAATTGTGGACCAATACCCAGAAAAATGAAATATAAGCCAGTCATTTTGCTTCCGTTTAAAGGGGATTCACAGACTCCCCGAAGCCTTTTGGGTTCTCAGTTGGGGACATAATTTGGCCATTTCTCAGTTCAAAAGTCTTTCCTTTTTCCCCTCTCATTGCACATATTTTTATAGTATCTCTAGTCCAACACAAGTTTTATAATTCTATAAAGGTATGAAACCTCTCATACTCTATTGTGAACAATTCTTTACTAATCCTGTTCAAAAGTGTGGTCCACAGATGTACTAGTCTGAGAATTGCCTATTTCTGGAATGCCATGAAATCAGGATCCTTTGCCAGAGTGTAAGTCTGTCATGTCAGCACTTGCACTCTTTAGATTGGTCGGCCTCTTCTGTGAGGAGATTCCTGAAGGCGGTGTTATGCTAGGTTTACCTTCTGGTGCAGGGTCTTAGGCTTTGAAGACCAGCACTCTCTATAGTACTGGTATAAACTACAAGTTTGAATTCCAAACTGGCTTGCTTTTTTGTTTATTTTAGTTGTTGAGTAAGGGTCTCTCTATTCTCCAGATTGGGTTCAAGGTAGTACTCTGCCTGCCTCAGTGTCTCCAGTGCTTGGGTCACAGGTATACACCACCATTATGCTTCTAAAGCTCTTTGAATCAGCTTCAAACATAAGTCGCCTCAGGTTGTTTTTTTGTTGTTTCCGTCTTGACTTAATGTGATTTTGTTTCTTTGTTTTTTGAAATAAGATCCTATGTAGCTCATGATAGCCTCAAACTCACTCTGTAGCCTAGGATGGTCTTGAACTTCTGATCTTCTGGCCTCTACTGCCTAAGTGTTGAGATTATAGGTGTGCAGCTGGCTACTGATGTATATATTTTTTGAGCCAGCATCTTGCTATATTTCCCAGGTTGGTTTCTACCTCCTGGGCCCAAGTGATCCTTTTGTCTCAGCCTCCCAAGAGCTGGCCCTACAGTTAGCTCTTTGTGGATTTGTGTGTGTATATATTTGTGTATAAATGTATGGGTATGTATTCACATGCATAACCATGTGTGTACAAGTATGCATGTGTGTCTGTGTATATGGAGGGAGGGATCAACCTTGGGCATTATTCCTCAGGAACCATCCACCTTGTTTTTGAGTCCGGGTCTCTCATTTGGTCTGGAACTTACCAACTAGAGTTAGCTGGCCAGCAAGCCCCAGAGATCCTGCCTGTCTTTACCTCCCCAGCGCTGGGATTACAAGTGCATGCCAGTGTGCCCTGCTTTTTTATGTCAGTTCTAGAGATAGAACTCAGGTCCTCATGCTTACACAGCAAGTACTTACTGATCTATTTCCGCAATCTCTGATACAATTTTTTACTGTTTTTATCATAAAATTATTCCTTCCTAGTAGACTACAAATCCTTTTAAAGCTCCACTTTTCCTTAGGCATTGAATCCTGATTCCGTAGTTCTGCTTTTCCCTCTATTACATTATTTCCTGTATCACTCTTCATAGACTTTGCCAAGTCTTTGGACTGACAAAACCCAAATGCCACTCTTCCCTTCTGCCACCCTTTTCTGACTGACTTCACCTTAGCCTCCATTTTCCTTTGTCTAGTTGGTCATCACAGGCCTTCACCCATTGTTGTGTTCATCTTGTTCTTTCCCTCTCAACCCATAAGTTATCTGCCATGTTTATGTGGTAACAGTTTCTAGCCTTTTAGCCTTCTTGATTCCTAAAGCACATCTTTTTATATATATATATATTTTTTTTTTTATTTATAGCCAGCTGTATAGCTCAGTTAGTTAATGTCATGCTAATAAAAAAAAAATTCTTTTTTTGGTCTTTTTGAGACAGGGTCTCCCTGTAGTCCCAGCTGGTCTAGAACTCGCTATATAGACCAGGCTGGCCTTGAACCACAGAGATCCACCTGCCTCTGCCTCCTGAGTACTGGGATTTAAGCATGCACCACCGTGCCCGGTGCTAATAAAATATTTATTATTTTTATTTTATGTGTATGAGTGTATTGCCTGCATGTGTGTAAGTGCACCCATGTCATGCAATACCCAAGGAGGTCAGAAGGGGTCAGATCCCCTATAGATGGTTGTTAACCACCTTGTGCGTGCTGGGAATCAAACCCAGGTCCTCTGCAAGAGCAGTCAGTGCTCTTAACCACTGAGCCATCTCCCCAGCCCCAATTCCTAAAGCATTTCTAAAGGCCATCTTACATTATAATCAGTGCTGTTTCTGCAGAATGAATAGACTTTGTGGATGAATTTTGAAGTGAGGAGTCTTTAAAAGGAGTATTATTGTCATTTGTTTTTATGTTTTGAGACAGAGTCTCCCATAGCCCCAGGTGGCCTGGAAGTCAATATGGAGACCAGGCTGACTTTGATCTCATAGAGATCTGCCTGCCTCTCCTTCCTCTGCTGGGGAGTATGTGCCACCACACCTGGCCATAGCTTTCATTTTTTTATTAAAATAAAATTTGTTTTAATAGCTGGGCTGGCAAGATAGCTCAATGTGTAAAAGTAGTTGCCGATAAGCCTACAACTGAATTCAGTCAGTTCCCAGGACTTACATGGTAGAAGAGAGAACCAATTCCTGCAGGTTGTCATCTGACCTCCGTACATATGCGTGTGCATGTGCTCACTCATACATACACACATAATAAATAAAATTTTAAAATAGAAGCCTTATAGTCATTTCTGGCTTTTGTTTGTGTTTAAAGAATTTGTTTAGAGAAGTAAAATTTAATTTTATTTGGACACCAGAGATTAGTTAGGGCCTTGCATATGCTGAGTATGTATTCTACTACAGTCATACCCTACCCTGGGGTAACCTTTTACATTGCCCTGGGGAAAATAAACAAATTGCCTCAGTAGCCCTTTATGTAATTTGTTTCAGTGTATTAGGATCAATGAGCTTTTGAGTCTGATTGACTTTTCCTCTTTTTCAGTCCTTGTCACCCTTTGATCCCAGCAGATTGTTTGGCTGGCAGTCTGCCAACACACTAGCAATAGGAGGTAAGTTAATATGGATTCTACTTGCTTAGTAAGCATTTTGGTTGTATTGAGGGTAGATGTTTTCATATATAAAGTTAATCCATTTTTTTCAGTGCTTTCTAGTTTAAAAAAAAAAATAAAAGCACATTCCAATGAAAGAACTTTCCAGGAGACTAATTGAAAATATTCTAAGTTTAAAAGTCAGTGTGTTAGGTTAGTGCTGCGCTTGCTAGGAAATGGAAAATATACCCATCTGTTTATATTTCTTCTTTCCAAAAATCCCTGTTTGCGATATAGTATCATAAAAGTTATATGCATTGGTATTGTCAGTAAATAAATTCTAGCTCTGTCTTGTAATAACTGTTTGACCTTGAGCATGTGATTTAACCTTCAATTTCCTACAAAATAAAGCTAATAACATACCCACCTCATACATTACTATAAGAATCAAAGAATACAGAGTTTTTTAGTTCTTTTGGTTTATTTGTTTTGTTTTTGAGACAGGGTCTCATGTAGCCCAGGCTAGCCTCAAACCTGCTTTGTAGTTCAAATTGACCCTGAACACCTCCTGCCTCTGCCTCCCTAATGCTGCAGTTACAGAGATTTCCTCCACACCTGGTTTTGTGGTGTTGGGGATGGTGCCCAGGGCTTCAAGCATGCTAGACGCGCACTCTACCAACTGAGCTCCACCCCAGCTCTGAGACAAGCTCTCTCACTCACATACTACATGCCAGGTATACACACATTGCCCTCTTGAGACCCTGAGAATTTTTGTGAAATTTTAAACACTCAGCTTTTCTGTTTCTTCCTTACCTTTATATTTAGGGTTAGCCTTTAATATCATGTTACCTGTGATGCCACTGCCTCTGTTACTCTTACATTAAAATTAAAACTGTCTGTGTTCAGTAGAAGTACCTAAAAATATTTGGCATATAGCCAGATGCATGACAAATGTACAGACTGCCTAAAAGTGAATTTTTGATCAAGTGCTCTACTGCTTGGTATATGGTAAAATGTATTTTCTACTGGATTGATGGCACATACCTTTAATTCAGGAGGCAGATGCACATGGATCTCTATGAAATCAAAGCCAGTCTGGCCTGCATAGGGAATTCTAAGCCAGCTGAGGCTACAGGGAGACCCTGTCTCAAAAAAACTAAAAACAACAACAACCAAATTCTAATGTTTCTCTTTTATAAATTCAAATTTTGATATATTGAGTTTACCTAGTTCTCAGAGTCCAGTACTGTGTTAAACCTTCAGTAGATGTTCAATAAATACATGTTGAATGTTTAAAAAGTAGCATTTATTGAATTATGAAATGAAAATACCCATTCTAATTTTGCTAGCAGAGATTTTGTAACTAAAACATTGCCATTGTGAAGCTAAAAGATCATCACCGCCAGGCGTGGTGGCGCAAGCTTTTAATCCCAGCACTCAGGAGGCAGAGGCAGGTGGATCTCTGTAAGTTCAAGGCCGGCCTGGTCTACATAGTGAGTTCCAGGACAGCAGGGGCTACAGGGAGACCCTGTCTCAAAAAGACCAAAAAAAAAAAAAAAAAAAGGAAAAAACAAAAAAAAATAAAATAAAAAAAAAAAAAAAAAAAAAAAGGAAAAAAAGAAAACAAATAAAATTACAAGTAGGTGCAGAGTTTTTAAGCAGCTTCTGAAGTATACATCTTTGTATAAGATGAGGACTGCCTTTGTATGCTGAAATTAAACAAAAACTGTTTTGCAAGATTCAGAGTGTCACAAAGTATACAGCAAAGCAACATGCTGCTAGCCACCACTTTTTCCACTGAGGAGCTAAGCACATGCAGTTCTGAGGTGCAGAGGATTAATTCTGCTTTGCCTCCCCGCAGACGCATCCAGTCATCTTCCACATTTCTCCAGCCCTGACTTGGTGAATAAATATGCTGTAATGGAACGTCTGAATTTTGCGTATTACTTACATCATGGACGCCCATCATTTGCTTTTGCTACTTTTCTGGTCCAAGAATTAATCAAGAGTAAGACTCCCAAGCAGCTGTAAGTATTTAGAGCGTAATTTCTACTGTCAAAAAAAAAAGCACATATATATCTTATTGATACTTGTTTTTTGAGACAGCATCTCCCTGTAGCCCCAGCTGGCCTGTGTCACTGTGTAGACCAGGCTGGCCTCCATCTCACAAAGATCTGCCTTGCCTCTGCTTCACAAGTGTTGGGACTAAAGGTGTGCAGCACACCTGGCTGGCTTGTTGATAGATTTATGAAAGTAGTGGAAGCACAGGTCTTTAATAGTGATTTTATTTGACGGTGATCACCTTGTTTTCACTTGTGCTTTTCTTTGTGCCTCAAGTTTTTGGCACTTATAGTGTGTGATATTTGTTAATGGGGAAGAGGTAAAAATATTCATCTCAAAAGACAGATATATTTTTAAATTATATGAGTGTCTGAAGTGTCAGCACTTTCTCAGAGGAATTCTGTAATGAAAAGTGAATTTTATATTTATGATCATCCTTTTTTTTAGTTTTAAAAATTCTTTTTGTTGGGTCTCACTGTTGCTCCAGCTGGCCTGGAACTCACTATGTTGACCAGGCTGGCCACAAACTCACAGAGATCTGCCTGCCCCTGCCTCCCAAGTGCTGAGATAAAGCGTGTGCCACCATGCCTGGCAATGATCTTCCTTTTATAATTCACTTTTATACAGAATTGGGAGAATTGTCTGATATAACTGGTAGCTTATTACATATTTTTTGGTTTTATAATTAACAAGGTAATGTATTCTTATGGTCAAATAGTAAAGTACAGAAAGGTGAAAGTGAAAGACAGAAGTCCAGCTCTCCCATTCTAAATAGTTAACGTGGTTGACAATATCTTGTACATCTTGCTAGTAAATTTTCTACGCATATAAAATCTATATGAGTCCTTTAAAATGTCCTTTAAGATGTCAACCTTTTAAGTGGTATTTTCTTCATAGTTTGTGTTTATACTTGATTAGGTCTCAAGTTGTCAGTGTGTTTGAATCCTTCATGTCTTCGGAAGCAAGAGAAATTTGGACTATGAATAGCTGCTTTAAGAGAATGTAAAAGTAGGCCAGCAAGATGGCTCGGTGGGTAAAGGTAATTGCTGCCAAGTCTGACAACCTGAGTTCAATTCCTGGGGCCCTCAGGGTGGTGTGGTGGGGCGCCTCAGGACTGACCATAACTATGCCATGTTATAAGCAGGCCCAGTAATTAAAGTTAGAGGCAGTTAGTTCAAATGTGGTAGTGGAAAAGTTTGACCCAGCTTTACCAAGGTGTGGGTTTGACAACAGGTTGACGTGTACCTGGTTGCTCCTACTGACAGCAGGTTTATGGCTTCTGTACTTTTTACTTGGCTTGCTCTTACAGAATAGAAATTGTCCTCTTACAGAAGAGATATTGTTGGGGGGGGGTTTCCACCCCTAAGCTTGGGAACTTTTTACCCCTGGATGTGGTTTTTCTGTATAAAAGCTTACCCTAAAGATGGTGTGGGGCTGCACTTGGGACCCAATTGCCCAGTGTAGTTGTTGGCCTGGCCATAAAGACTTTTAGCAGTTTCCTGGATCTGAGTGGTCTTCTCTGGTGAGACAAACCTTGTAACAGTGGAAAGAGAATCGACTCCCACAAGTTGTCCTCTGACCTCCATTTTGGCACCATGATTACAAATGGCCCCCAGATAAATAAGTAGATAGGTAGGTAGATAGATAGATAGATAGATAGATAGATAGATAGATAGATAGATAGATAGATGATAGATAGATAGATAGATAGATAGATAGATAGATAGATAGATAGATAAGTCACTGGGGGGGGGATGCTACAGCTGATACCATGTTTGCTGCATCTGCTTTTGATTATTTGCAGTGTTGAGCTTTGATAGCTTAAACATGGACTTTACCATACACATTATAGCACTGAAAACCAATCTCAGCAGTTCAGTGGTTATGGAGGAAGTGGAAGGCTCTGCAGCAAGCTGTACACCAACTTCTTTCAGCAAGGCCTCCAGGTATAATGTAGCCAAAGCAGCCACCACTCAGTGATGCATACACCAGGCAGATTTGCCAGACCACTTAGGTTTGTACTCCAGCTACACCTCAACCATTCCATGGAAACAGCCTTTAAGATGAGCCACTTTTCTGAGAAGAGTTAGGTGTCACTTTTGACCACATCTGGGAAAGAAAAAAATCAAAGGAACCAAAAAACCAGTAACATTGCTACATCATGAAAATGAGCAATTGACTGTACAGTGAATGGAACTGGTGTGGTTTGTGTTCTGGTGCCCTTGGAACTACATTGTTACTGGCAGGCAAAATCTGGTTTGGCTGCGTATATGGAGTCCTATGCATGTCCCTGGATATCTAGGAATGTTTGTTCATTAAGTTTAATGAGGATGGTGGGTGTCTCATTTGGTCCTGGGGCAGGTGTCCCAGGACCTCCCACAGTGCTGCTTTCTAGCTCTGCAAGTGATACTTTGCAAGGAATGGTAGGAATTCACTCACTGCTGGGATGATTGGATGGTGTGGTTTTTCTGTTTCCAAGCATATAGTGCCTTGTAATACCATATCTTGGCACTTTGTTCAGTGGTCTTTGCTCTTTTGAACTAAATTTATCTGCTATGTGGACATCAGTGGGTCAAACTGGCAAAAAGGACCTTGAACTCTTAAAATTGAACCAGCAATCTACAGTGCAACTTATGCTGATATCTAGTAGATTTGGAGCAGTGGAAGTGAACATGTCATTTATTCATTTTTCTAGAACAGTTGAATGCTATATGGATTGCCCTAAAGTGCGACTATATTAAATGGTTGTGTTTATACAAATAGATGTACTGTTTCTTTTCCTGATCCTGCAACCTTGAAGAACAACTTTTTTTTGGTCTTTTTGAGACAGGGTCTCCCTGTAGCCCCAGCTGCCCTGGAACTTACTATGTAGACCAGACTGGCCTTGAGCTCACAGAGATCTGCCTGCCTGTGCCTCTGGGATTAAAGGTGTGTACCACCACACCAGGATGAAATGGCTCAACTTTTAAGAGCATTGGCTGAACTTGCAGAGGACCTGGGTTCAGTTTCCAGCATCTGCATGGCAGCTAACAGTTGTCTGTAGCTCCAGTTTCAGGAGATCAGACACTCTCTTCTGGCATCTGCAGGCGTTACAAGTATGGATGCACTTACATTCATTCATGCAGGTGAAGCACTCATACACATAAAATAAATACATATTGCTAGGCATGGTGGTGCATGCCTTTAATCCCAGCACTCAGGAAGCAAAGGCAGTGGATCTCTCTGAGATCCAGGCCAGCCTAGTTTATAGGTCTATAGCAAATTACAGGCCAGCTGGGGCTACAGGGAGACCCTGTCTCGAAAAGACTAACTAATTAACTAATTAATTAATTTAAAAATACATTAAAAATTAAAACCAAGCATGGTGGCACACAATTCTTTAATCCAAGCACTTGGGAGGTGGAAGCAGGTCGATTTCTGTGAGATCAAGGCTAGCTTGGTCTACATAAAGAGTTCCAGGGTAGCCAGGGCTACATAGTGAGACCCTGTCTCAGAACAATTTTTTAAAATCACAATGCAATTTTTGAGTGTATACTTGAAAAATTTGACATTCTTATAAATTATGTATGAAATAAGAGATCTGAGCAGTTCACAGTCTATTGCGGACATGGAAAGCAAGCAGCTGTTTAGGCCTGTGTTATCTCAGTCTAGACTGCCCACATCAATACTTAGTTCATACATGTCTGTCTCTGCCTCTCTCAGGAGATAGAAAATAGCTAGTTTTTCGTGAGAAAAATAGTTAAACTTTCACAATTTCAATATTATAGTTATGAATGTGTAGTGCATTTGATGTCTATTAAAATGTTCCCAATTAAAAAAAAATTTTTTTTCAAAGAATGTAAATCTAGGGGCTGGAGAGATGGCTTAGCAGTTAAGAGCACTGGCTGCTCTTGCAGAGGACCTGGGCTCAGTTCCCAGCACCCAAGTGTCTGCTAACAGCTGTCCATAACTCCAGTTCCAGGTGATCCAACACCCTATAAAAATAATAAATAAAATTATTTTTTAATTTTATTGAATTTTTGTGTATTTCATACATAAAAATCATCTTTATACCCCCTTCCCCTTTGGCACCCTCCCATAACCTCCCCTCCCCCCACTGGAGTTCATACATTCTGTCATTTGTGTTAAGGCCTATCATATAAAGTCAGTTTCCCCAGATGTCTCTCAGTGAAAGTTCATCCTCTGGGATCTAGTCAGCCTATCTAGAGTCCCTCCCTTTAAGAAGATGAGCTCTTTCTCACCCAGCAGTAATCAGGTGCCAACAATTATTCAACTAAGATTGGGGCCTGCTGTCCTTTTCCACAGTTCTGTGCTGGGCTTTTGTCTGCTTGAGTTTGCATGGGTCTTGTGCATGCTGACACCATTGCTGTAGGTTCCTATGAGAAGGGTCCCAGACACCTGTAGGACTATTTCCGTATGGTCCTGCACCTCCTCCTTGGCCCTTACAATCTTTCAGTCCCCTCTTCTGCAATGGTCCCTGAGCCCTGGGTGGGTGGATTTTAATATAGGAGTCCTGTCCAAGGACCCACACTCTGCAGACTTTTATTCTCTGCATTTTGGCCATTTGTGACCTTTGGCATTCTTGGCCCTCTGTTGCATGAGGGAGCTTCATTGATGAGAGGTGAAAGATGTGTTAGTGTTCTCTTCATCCTTTGTTCTATGATTCATAAACCTTAGGTGTAGAGGTTGCATCCTAGATGTGCCACATAGGTTTGGGCAGTTCACAGACAATCTCTATGTGTCATGAGTTGTGGAACTCTAAATTTCTCTGTCTCTTGAAAAAGAAGCTTCTTTGATGTGCGGTGACTAGGATACATGTCTATAAATTTAAGGATCTATATTTTTCACATAGTAAGAAATTACATTTTTCTAGAGATGTGAGAGGCTTGGAGTTTTCTCTAAGATCTATGACCTCTCCAGCTATGTGCATTTGGCTAGGTTTACAGTACCACACGTGAGTTTCCTCCCACTGAGTGGGCTTTAAGTCTAATTTGGTAGCTGTTGGTTACCCTCAAGATAAAAATGCCACTATTGCACCAATGTCATTTGCTGTGCTGGTCACTGATGTGGTTTTTAGGCCTTGAAACTGGGGTTGGACCATCCATTGACGTTTTTCCCTTAGCAATTTGCATAGTGCTCTCCAAAGCTATGAGAGCTAGCCTTCAGGGGCGGTGACTTCCAGGTCAGTCCCAGTTCCGTTGCTCCAAATCCTGTGTCCGAAGTATGTCCTATCTTCAGCAATAAGGTTTTATCTTTAAGTTCTGGGAGGAAATCAAGAACTGTGGCAACAGCCTGTATAATTTTGGGGGTCTCTTGGGCTACCCTGGCCAGCAACTCAAAGGAAGGTTTCTCCTGTCTGGCACTGTTTCTTGTTATGTAGTCTTCAGCTATACCCACGGACTCATGTAGGGTTATTGTATGTATAATTTTTCAGGTTTTTGGACTAATACAATTCCCTCTTTTTTTTATACTAGCTAGACTATATTATGGATATAATATAGACTATTTATGGATCCTCTTTCTCTCCCTGTCTTATTCTCCCTTCCTCCCCTCCCCATTTAAAGTGTCCCCATTTTCCCCATTTCTCCTTTGATAGTTTTTGTAGTATAAGTAAAATGTTTTTAAAAGAATGTAAATCTAAGGATATGGGGACTGTAATGACAGAAGGTAATTTAAAAAGCTACGTGGAACCCAGATGAATGTGTCCAAAAGAGGAGAGAGGAAGCAAAGATCAGATTTCGGCCATTCCATTTATCAGTTATATAATTCTATTTCCTTTTCCTGGTGGGAAACAATTTTTTAGAATCCTGTGTGTTGCATATATGTGTGTGTGCTCATGCCTAGGTGGGTACACATGGCATGGTACACATGTGGAGGTCAAGAGACAATCTTGGGTGTTGGTCTTCACCTTCTACCTTGAGGCAGGGTCTCTTGTTTGCTGCTGTGCACTCCAGACCAGCTGGCCCATGAGCCTCCACAGATTCTCCTGTCTTTGCTTCCCATCTCACTGTAGGGGCACAAGGGAGATGTGTACTATTGCATCAGATTTTTAAATTTTTTATTACATTTTGTTTATTTTCGTGTGTTTGGGTATGTACATGCCTCGGCACTCATGGAAGTCAGAGGACACCAGTGGGAGTCGGTTCTCTCAACCATGTGGGTCCTGGGGATCAAATGCAGGTTGTCAAGTTTGGCGGCAAGTGCCTTTACCCACAGACACATCTTGGTGGCCTCCCTTCATCTGGCTTAGAGTTTTGGGGATTTAAACTCAGGTCCTCACACTTGTGCAGCAAGTGCTTTACCCACTGAACTGTCACTCCACCCATGTGCTGATGTGATCTTTCTCTTTCAGGATCCAGCAAGTAGGCAAGGAAGCCTACATCCTGGGGCTCTCGTCCTTCCACATTCCTTCAGTAGGAGCTGCTTGTGTCTGCTTCCTAGAATTGCTCGGCCTTGGCAGCCTCAAGCTCAGAGTTGACATGAAAGTGGCCAATACAATTTTCGAGTACAGGTGTAGAAATGAAGATGCTCAGTCCAGCTTTATCCGAGACTCTCTAGGTATAGTACCTTCTTATATGGCCTGTTTGGTTTTGAGGCGAGCTGGCGGCTAAGCCTAAGGTATTGTATTACGAGCAGTTGGGAGGGAAACAGCTGCTTTCCTTTTGTTGCACAGTTGGTGTTCTGTGTCGCCTCTTTTTAGAGGCTACTTTAATTGGGTTTAAATGTCCCTGAACCCCATTATTCAAACAGAAATGCCCAGGTCCTGGCCTTTTCTCTGGAGCACATGCACATATACACTCTCTTCTTGTTGGTTTTGATTTGTTGGGTTTCAGGGGTTTTTTTGTTTTGTTTTTTAACATGGGGTCTCATTTGTTTTATGTTGCTCAGGCTGAGCTCAAGCTTCTGAACTCAAGCCGTCTGCCTGCCTCAGCCTCCCTAATAGCTGGGACTACACTTGTGTGCCACTGTGCCCCTCTTACTTTGTTTGTTTCTATTTCTTATAGCTGAAAAGTTGTCTAGGCTGGCCAATGGTGATAAGGCAGCCATGGAAGAATTGCTTGTTCTTCTGGAAGAAGGCACGTGGAACAGCATTCAGCAGCAGGACATAAAGAGGTTTGTACACTGCAGTCCCAGCCTCTTCTCTAGTGAACCTTATGGTGCCAACTTGTTTTGGCCTAATCTTTCTCCCAGTACCTTGATCTTTTCTTTAAAATCCCCCTTATTCACCCAGCATATAGCAGATACAATGTAAATGGTCAATGCATCTTACCCATAGCACTTCAGAGGGAATCACCAGGAGATGGAAAGGAAATGTGTTTCTTCCTTTGCCCTGCGAGTCAGAGAAATCTTTCAGATGTTATGTGTTGAAATAAGTGCAGATGATGTTACTAGTTTTAAGTCACGTCCTTACTTTCTTCCCTCCTCTTGTATGTATCCTTATGTCAGCTGATAATAGAAGCCAAAGTGACAGTCCTCCAAAGCATACTCATGCTCATTCCTTTAGGCTCTGCCCTTGAGCTGTGTGGGAACATGCTCTCCCTCCTGTCACTCTATTTGCAATAACATTGTGCTTGTCCTGCTTGTAGTGGGAACTGTGCCCTCCCCCTAGCAAGAAGGTGCAGGTACCTGCCAGGACTCTGAACTCTGTAGTGCTATACACAGGGAGCTAAGCATAAGGGATTGTTTCTCAGATCTCTGAAGGATGCTGTGTAGCCATAGAACACTGTACTGTGGGATGAATTGGAGGATGAATGAATTGTACCAGTGCCAAGAAATCTGTTCTGCATTATAGGCAAGAGGGTTTTTTCCAAAGGTAATCTAATACATATTATGTGTTTAAAAGCTTTATTAGGACTGGAGAGCTGGCTTAGCACTCAGCAGTACTGGCTGCTCTTACAGAGGATCTGGGCTTGGTTCCTGGTACCCGACATGGCAGCTATCAGCCATCTGTAACTCCAGTTCCAGGGGATTCAATGCCCTCTTCTGGACTCTGCAGGCATCACAAAACACTGACACTCTTACAGGCAGGCAAAACACTCATACACATAAAATAAAGGTGTGTGATAGCACACACCTTTAATCCCAGGCCTGGTCTACATATTGAGTTCCAGGCCAGCCAAGGCTACATAATGTGACCCTGTTTAAAAAGACTAATAATAGGGTACTGGAGAGATGGGTGCTGGGAATTGAACCTGGGTCCTCTGCAAAAGCAGCCACTGCTTTTAACCGCTGAGCCATCTCTGCAGCCTCTTATTTGTTGTTTGTTTTTTTTTTTTTAAAGAGAATACAGTGTGGTTAATTTATTTAATTTTTACTAACTTCCATTTCAAACTAGAGCTATATTTTAATAAGATCTTTTTCTCTCCTACCCTATCCTTAACTCTAATTATAGGTTATCCAATGAATCTGGCAGCCAGTGGACGTTAGTGGTACAGTTCTGCACACTCCACAGTATGAAACTGAGCATGTCTTACCTTCGAGAATGTGCCAGAGCAAATGATTGGCTACAGTTCATAACTCACAGCCAGCTCCATAGCTACCACCCAGAGGAGGTAAGCCATGGTGGAAAGTGGCACACTTCTCAGAACCACGCTCTTGGCACTGTAGCAGGCTTCTGTCTGGTTGGACAGTGACTTTTGCTGAGTTCATTAGTCTGGCATCAGGCAGTGGGTTCATTGTGAATACTAAAGTGCAGAAATGTTTCTGTGATCCCAGGTTGAATACAAAAACGCACTCAAAAGTGACAACCAAATGAGGTGGCTTAGGCCTGTAATCTCAGTACTGGGGAGGCTGAGGAGGCAGGATCGCAAGACCTAGACCAGCATGTTATAAACAAAAAGGTCAGATAACTTTGGAAAGTTATATGGTTGCTTCTGACACAGTTCCAGCTGAGAAGGAATAATTTTTCCTGTGCTTTTTTGTAATATACTTAGTCGAACTAAAAAGGAGAGTTGAGTATATTTAGCCATCTGCTTTAAAATATATTTGTCGGCCTCCCCCGGTCCAAACTCTGCTGCCAACAGGAGACCATTGCGTGCCCGTCCCCATCTCAGAAGGTCAGGGCGAGGAGAGAGACTGATGGGGCGAGAGGGGCCTCGGGCAGCGGCCAGTACTGTGGGAAGAAAACACCTGGGAGGCTGTGTCAGTGGACAACTTGTTTATTATGGCAGAAGCAGAGGTTTATATAGGAAAGTTTCATGGGCAAAGAGGTGGGGTTGGTTTTCTGGCAGGCGGGGAGGGAAGGGGCTTCTAAGGCTACGTCCGTGGCCTTTGTCCTGTCCTCCAGTCACATGATCTACAAGAGACCTGGTTAGGATTAAAGGATTAGAGGCCTAACAGTTTTGCTTGGGGGTTGTTGGGTAAGAGACAGTGTATCTAAAAGAGCAGGCCAGTTTCCTGCCATTCTCACTAGGAGGTCTCCAGCCTGGCTATGCTCTACATTCTAGGCATTCCTGACTTATTCCAACGTATATTTTTAATTGAATTTTTACAATTTTCTTTTTGGTCTTTTTGAGACAGGATCTGTCTGTAGTCCCAGCTGGCCTGGAACTCAGAGAGATCTGCCTGCCTCAGCCTCCCAAGTGCTGAGAGTAAAGGCATGGACCACCATGCCCAGCGTGTCCTCAAATTTGTGTCCATCCATGGGAGCCTGGTTAACCTACCCATACTCACACCTTTGAAATAGACTCTCTGCCCCTCCCAGGAGCCATGGGTTGCCAAATTTTCCTTAGGTAGGGTTGGGGTTTCTTACCCACTTCCCTGTGTCTATGCTGGGATTTTTTCTGGTTTGAGCTTGCGTGGGATTTGTGCGTGCTGTCACCATTGCTATGAGACCATCTGCTTTCTAGGTGAAATCTCTTCTTCAGTACTTCAGTCCAGTCCTTCAAAGCCACTTAAAGCTAGCTTTTGAGAACTTGCCATCAGTATCCAGCTCTAGAACAGACAGTGAGCAAGTCTTCACGATTCCCCAGGAACTCCAGAAAAATGAAGAGATGGCTGATTTCTTTGAAATTCTCCACCGATGCTCAGAGGAGTCAGACTCTTGGCTCTGGCTCCTGGCTGAGGCAGTGAAACAGCAGGCTCCTATCCTCAGCATCCTGGCCTCATGTCTCCAGGTGAGGGGCACGAAAAGCTTGAATTAGGGAACCAGAAAGCTATAAAAATGCAGAGAGAGGCCAGGCGTTGTGGCACATGCCTTTAATCCCAGCACTTGGGAGGCAAAGGCAGGCTGATCTCTGTAAGATCAAGGCCAGCCTGGTCTGCATAAGGTTCCAGGGCTACAAGGAGACTGTCTCAAACAAGTGATTGTTGCTTTTGCAGAAAACCGGAGTTCAGTTTCCAGCACCCACATGGGGTATCTTATAATTACCTATAGCTCTAGCTCTAGGGGATCCAATGTCCTCATCTGGCCTCTATGGTCACCTGAACCTTGTGTGCATGCACACATAGACACATATACATAAAAAAGTTTCAGAGCTGGGCATGGTGGTGCATAGCTTTAATCCTTGTACTTGGGAGGCAGAGGCAGGTGGATCTCTGTGAGTTCGAGGCCAGCCTGGTCTACATAGAAGTTCCAGGCCAGCTGGGTCTACAGGGTGACCCTGTCTCAAAAAGACCAAAAAAAGTTTCAAAAGAGATGAGGGGAGGGGAGAGAGAAAGCTAGGAGAGCCAGGATAAAATGCCAGTAATCAGAAGTGAGTGATGATGATTGTTTTTTCAGCACATTTTCAAGGTCACTGAAGCTGTTTGTACTTCTGCAGCATGATTGTCTAGGAGGGTTACAGTTTCTCTACCTTCAGTGACCACAGGTGGTCAGGGCTTTGGTTCCTGGTTGGCAGTCACAGGAGCGCTTTTATGGACAGATGCCCACTGCTTCTTTAGTACCTTGTTTGGGAAAGGGGGATTTTGATGTAGTCCCTTTAATCAGCAGATTAGTGGAACATAGTTCCCCTCTCTCTTGGCCTTTTGACCTGTCACACTCTCCATGACAGTTTATAATAGTCCCTAGCTTATTCATCAGAGCTTGTCATATTTGGAAGCTTTCAAGCTATTTTAGCTAATTAAGAAAGGGGCTCCTTCTAAACAGGAAACACCCACCTAGCATTTGTACATTTGTAGTAACCCAGCCCAGTTCTTCTGTTTTCAAAGTTTCTTATCCAATGGCAGGGTGCCAGTGCTATTCCCTGTCTCTGTGTTTGGATTGTCACTTCTGTGGAGGACAGCATTGCAGCTGAAGCGATGGGTCACATTCAGGTCTCAATAGAGGACCATACATGGGACCTTGGGGACCTTTCCATCATCTGGAGAACTTTGCTAACAAAGCAGAAGAGCAGCACTCTCATCCAAGGGTTCCAACTTTTCTTTAAGGTACTCACATCCAGTTTTTCCCAGGGCTTAAAAGAAGTTTCTTCAGCATCCCCCTCATTGGCTTTTTCTTATTTTCATACCTGAAGGTTTTTTTTTTTTTTAAGTCAACAGCAGATGATAATGGTAATACAAATACCATTTGTGCGTGTGTGCGTGCGTGCGTGTGTGTGTGTGTGTGTGTGTGTGTGTAACCCAGGGCCTTTAAGATACACCCCAACCCCTATCATTTATTTAGCAAAGGACTTTATATACATTATTTTAGTAAGTTCTCACAGCAATTCTTTATAAAAACAATATGTAAGGATATTACAAAGTAGTATTACCCTTATTTTACAGACTAATAAACTGATGCTTATATAACTTCATCCATCCAGACTCCAAGTACATTAGTAAGTGACTGTACTTAGAGTTGAAATCATCCTTTATAACACAAAATTCCTGTTCTGGCCCAACAACTCCCATGAAGAGTGATGGAGCATGTTGGTTGATGCCACTGGGAACAGCAGAGGGGGACAGGTCTGTGAGCTGCAGTGCCACCTAATGGAGGGTCTTCTGCCAGTACATGGATCAAGTGTAGGTTCATCAGAAAATGGATTTGTTGAATGGTTGTGCTCAGCCTGAGTATCCTTTTTCTAAAAGGAAATATAAAAACTTTACTTCCCTTCTTAACCTGCCTAACTTAATTCTACTGTGAAGCGAGTATTAATAGTGTTTGATGCTCCTTTATTTGGTATTACTCACTGAAAAAAGATCAAGTTTGGGATTTTCTAATTGCGACTCTTTCTTCAAAGGATTCTCCACTTCTATTGATGATGGAGGTGTATGAACTGTGCATGTTCTTCAAGAATTATAAGAAAGCCAGAGCCAAGCTTCTGGAGTTCCAGAAAAGTCTTGGAATGGTAAGTTGAAATTACAGTGCTTCCTCACCAGTCTGAAAGTAGTTAGTATGGCCCACGGTCTGCTGGTTGGGATGGAATAGCAGAATAGAGTTATGTGCTGTGATTCAGACTACAGTAGTTCATTCCACATTTGTTCTGTTTCAGAGAAGAGGTCAGGTGTTGCAAAGCCCTGAAGTTGCCATGAGCAGAGAAGTGGCTTGGAACATGTTCATGAGATTAGTGTCCTGTTGTTATGCCAAACTCTGTAGGGCAAGGACTAATGGTCCATGATATGAATACCAGAGAACAGATGGGTAGTCCATGACTGCATTTTGTCAATCCAGGATAGCTCAGCAGTGTAGAATACAAAGGGCATAAGATACTACTTTGTTCATTGTAAAAGAAAAATGTTTTTTGGGGGTCGATGAGATGGCTCAGTGGGTTTGCTGTGTAAACCTGATAACAACCTGAGTATGATCCGAAGAACCAGGGGGGAATGTGGAAGGAGAGAGCCAACTCCCAGAAATTGTCCTCTGACTTCCACTGTGGCATGCGTGCACTTGTATTCATAAATCTTTCTCTCTCTCTCCTCTCTCTCTCTCTCTCTCTCTCTCTCACACACACACACACACACACACAGAGTAAATAAAATAAAATTTAAAAAAATGTTTTAAGCTTTAGGAGAATTTTATTAGCATTTTAAAGAAAAATCCTCAGGGCAGGCAAGCTGGTAATCTTGGCAGCTGCCATGAAGAGGTGAACGGTGGGAAGAAGGAAAGAGCCATGGAAGCCATGCAGGTTTAGAGCCTGCATAGAGGTCAGACACGTGGCTGACTAGCAGCCACATGGCAGAGAGAAGGAAGCTTTAGATAAAAAGTAAAGAAATACAAGATGCTAGGGGCAGCCCAAACCCTTAAAGAAAGCATGTTTAGAAAAGGGATATGAAGAAGAAAATGAGAGATTACACTTTCTGAAGAAGTTAGAAAAGCAGGTAGACTTACAGAGACCTACACGTCTGTAGCCAGGTCTAGAAGCACTGCACTAGGAGGTGGGATTCCAGTCAGGAAAAAGTTCACTTTCTTATTAACCTGCTAGGTTTTCTGCCCATCTATTTAGCGTGACTTAGATGAACCTGCCTTCCTAAGGGTGGTCCTATGACCAGATGATGGACCAGTGAAACTGGAAATATGGGTCTTTCAATAGACTATAGAGATTTTATAATCTTGACCAGTTAATCTTATAGGGCTTTTTGCTACTCTAACATCACCCCCTCTTAAGAGGTGACCCTAAAATCTTTTAGGAATTAGATAAGAGCTCCCAAATACTTTTGGCATTTCTGTCCTTTGGCACAAAGTAGGCTGCTAAGAGGCCCAAAGACATTTTCCTTTTAGCCAAGAAAGAAACTGGCTAGTTTTCTTTGGGGTCTTTTTACCCTAACTGCCTAGCCAATTTCTACCTCCTATTCTTATCATACCACCCTCTGAAGAATTTACCCAAATTGCCAATAGGAAATTGGGGTGCATACCACTCTGGCTTCTTCCATGCTGAATGGGGGCATGGGGTACTCCTTCGTGGTTCTATCTAAAAGACCCCAAAGTGCATAACTGTTAGCTATAGAGAGAAAAGGAAGTCCTTGACTGGTGCCTGGGAGATGTGAAGGAGAAGTAAAAGCAAGAGTAGTTAGCATTAGAAGCTCTAGACAGGGAACCGGAAAAAGAATAGGGCAAATTTTAAATGTCCAAATTACACACACACGCACACACACACACACACACAAATAGTAAATAAAATAAAATTTTAATTAAAATGTTTCTTCTCATCAGTACTCCCAGCAGTCCCTGTCCAAACAATGCTGAGTGTGTGGTCAGTAGGTTTTCTCAGTTGCCTGTTTATCACACTGAGTTTAACCTTATGGGAAAATAAAAGAGAGAGGAAGTTTTTTAGAGAGACCATGCTTTAGTCCTGCTTGGCAGTTTCAGCATTTTTGCCTTCTGTCACCTAAAAGTACTATAATAAATAATACAAAGTATGTTCCTGTTTTACCCAGCAAGTTTTCCAGGGTGATCTTAGTATAATTTTGAATAAAGATTTAAATATCTGAGAGGCTGGGGATATAGTTCAGTGACAGAGGACTTGCCTGGCGTGCATAGGCCATATGCTCAATCTCCAGGACAATAGATAGATAAGTAGGTAGGTAGGTAGATAGATAGATAGATAGATAGATAGATAGATAGATAGATACATACATACATACATACATACATACATACGTACATACATACATACAGAGATACATAGATAGATACATACATACATACATACATACATAGATACATAGGTAGATGGAAGATAGATACATACATAAATACATAGATACATAGATAGATGTTGCATGTTTGAAAGTATTGAATCAATTATTTGAGTATGACTGGGCTTCCTGAATCACAGAATATAAGCCTGTTAATTTCCTCAGGCTGTTACTGTCTGTGACTGGGGTCCTCCAAGGTGTCTTCTTGCCTGACTGCCCCTGTTCCATCTTTGCTGCAGCCCTTCGATGTAGTTTCTCCTCAACTATTTCTATCATTTGCCCATGGCAATCCTTTTTCTTAGAGCAGCAGTTAGGTAAATAAGTAATTAAGTAAAGATGGGGCCTAATGTCCCTGCCCCAGCTGTTTTAATAAGGAGACTGAATAGGATAAATAATGACAAATAGACATATTGCTAGGGATGTAGCTCAGTGTTAGAGTGCTTGCCTACCATGCACACCACAAAATAATACTATAAAATAATAGTAAGTAGAGTCTGGAGAGATGACTCAGAGGTTAAGAGCACTTGCTGCTCTTGCAGAAGACCTGGGCTCAGTTCCCAGCACCCATATTGGGTGGCTCACAACTGCTTGTAACTCCAGTTCCAGGGATTCTGACACCTTCTAGCCTCTGTGGGCACCAGGCAGGCATGTGGTGCATATACATACATGTAGGCACTCATACATAAAATAAAAATAAATTTGAAAAATCATAATAAAAGAAACTTCATCTGTGCATCATGTAGGACAAAGGACTCTCTCTTTTGGAAACATTAGGAGTAGTGACTGCTGTACCCAATTGATAATACAAAGCATTAGTGCAAGAATTGATGTGCAACTTTTGATTCTTCTTGAAATCAAAGGCCCAGTCGGTTGGATTAGCCTATGGCCATATCTGTGAGGCATTTTCTTAATTGCTCATTGAAGTGGGAGTGCCCAGCCCAACGTGGGCAGTGCCACCTGTGGGCAAGTGTTCCTGGGTTATATAAGAAAGCAGGTTGTACACAGGCCAGAGGAGCAAGCCATTAAACAGCTTTTCCCCATGGTCTGCTTCAGCTCATGCCTCCAGGTTCCTGCCTTGGCTACCACTGATGATGGGCTGCAGCCTATAAACCAAATAAGCCCTTTCTTCTGCAAGTTGCTTTTGGTCACTGTTTTATCACAGCCTCAGAGAAACCAAACTAGAACACTTAGCCTTCTCCTCTGTGATCCATAGTGAGATACTGTTAAGAGTATCTTGGGGCTAGAGAGATGGCTCAGTGGTTAAGAGAATTTGTTGCTCTCCCAGAGGCTCTGAGTTCAATTCGCTGCAGTCACATTGGACAATTCTAGTTCCTAGGGGATTCGATGCTGCTGGCTTCCCTGTGCACCTGCACTCAGATAAATAATAATAATAAACTTAAAAAAAAAAGTATCTTGGCTTTCTTGTCTCCAAATTGGGAGGTTCTGATTTTTTATTCCTGTGAACCATTGTCTCTGAGTCTTCGTTGTTTTTCATAGCTTGATATAGCAGCTACAAGGGTCTTCCCTAACATACCTGCCGCATGGGTGAAGGATCAGGTGTGTTTCCTTTTGAAACTTATGCCACAGCAGTGCCAGACGCAGTACGAGCTAGGGCAGCTGCTGCAGCTGTTTGTTGGAGTGGAGCATCTCTTCTCTGATGGTAAGACAGGATTTATCCTGAAGTTGCTCTTAAAAAGTTAGCTTCCTTATCTTGAAATTATTTTAGGAGGGCAGTCCCAGCACTCGGGAGGCAGAAGCAGGTGGATCTCTGTGAGTAAAAGGACAGCCTGGTCTACATAGTGAGTTCCAGGTCAGCTGGGGCTACAGGGAGACCCTATCTCAAAAAAGACCAAAAACAAAACAAAACAAAAACCAAATTAAAACACATCAGATAGATAACTGATCAGTCCATAACTACGTGTGAAGAGTTCTCTACAGGAATAGCACCTAAGATACTGTAACCAGTCTTAGTCTGTGCAGTTGTCCCCAGGTAAACCTCTGTATTAACATGTCACCTGTGTTCTCTCTGGCTGGTAACTGTCACATGTCTTCATTGCTCAGAGTCACAAATCCTGTTTCAGAAATGCATAATTCATGGTGGACATTCAGAGACAAATTGTGCTTACTGTTTTGTAGACTCCCCCAGATACTCTCTAACCTTGTTGCTGCCTAAATCAAACCAATATTGCCTTTTTCTTTTCTACTTGTTTGGTAATTTTAAGATTTTGCTGAATGATAATGTGATTCATTTATAGTATTCTGAGCTTTTTACTACTAGGGTCACATTTAAACTCACAGCTGTTCAGCTGAAAGGTTGAGATTTTCACAGAACACTGATAGTGCTGGGCTTGGTGCCAAATCTCATAACCATAGGTCTGCTGACTGAAAGGAAAAAGGGTGTTTCTAAGCTGCAGCATATCCAAGATGGCACTTGTCAGTGACTATATACATTGCACAGACAGGAAAGTGTTCACACTGATCTGTAGCAATTTCAGTTTTTTTCAGAAATAAATTTCCTGTTTGCCATGGTCATTTAGTCTACCTTTGAGTGATTACAAGGACCAACTACATTGTTAATTATTGCTATAATACTTTTATCATATAAATTACTTTTGTAGGTAGGGTCTCACTTTGTAGCCCAGGCTAGCCTTGAACTGGTGATCTTCTTGCCTCAGCTTCTAAATGCTGAGGTAACAGGTGTGTGTCACTATGCCTAGCTCTACTTGTATCCTTTTAAATGCTATTTCGTGTGGGGGGGGTGTGTGTCTGTCTTTCTGTCTGTTTGTCTGCCTGCCTGCCTGTCTGTCTTTGTGTGTAATAAAACACATTATGCTTCAGAGTATAGAAATAGAGCCAGGTGTGGTAGCAGAAGCCTAAAATCCCACTCCTCAGGAGATATAAGTAGGAGACTCATTTCAGGTTGAGGCCAGCCTAGTCTGCATAATGAGTTCCAGGCTGGCCAGGGTGTCTTTATTGTCAGCTTGACACAACCAAGAGTCACTTGGAAAGAGTCTCAGCTGAAGGATTGCCCAGATCAGATTGGCCTGTGACCATGTCTATCGGGACTTGTCTTTTGTTGATTAATGTGGAAAGGCCCAGCCCACCTTGGGCAATGCCACCCCTAGGCAAGTAGTCTTGGGTTGTATAAGAAAGCTGGCTAGGGGCTGGATAGATGGCTCAGCAGTTAAGAACACTGAGTGTTCTTGCAGAAGACCCACATTTGTATCCCAGCACCCACATGGCAGCTAACAACTATCCTACCTCCAGTTCCAGGGGATCTAACAGCCTCTTCTGACCTCTGCAGGCACTGCATGACACAGGTACACTTACCTACATGTAGGCAATACACCCATACACATGAAATAAAAATAATAAAATATTTTTTTAAATAGTTTTAAAAATTAAAAGCTGGCTGGGATGGAGAGTTGGCTCAGCGGTTGAGAGCATGGACTGCTCTTGCAGAGGACCTGGATTCGAATCCCAGCACCACATGGCAGCTAACATGTTAATTCCAGTTCCAGGGCATCTGATGCTGTCTTCTGACATCCATAGGCATTGCATGGCATGGGTACACTTACACACATGCAGGCCATACACTCATACACATAAAATAAAAATAAAAGAAAGCTGGCTAAGCACTATCAAGAAAGAGCAAGTCTGTAAGCATTGCTCCTTCACAGTCTCTGCTTCAGTTCTTGCCTCCAGGTTCCTGCCCTGCCTTCCCTCAGTGGTGGACTTTCCAACATGGCTGTATCTGTGGGTACTGTACAGTATTCCTCCCTGCCCCCAGAACTACCTAAATCAGCAGGTAGCTCCGGATGTAGCCTACATGGAATGTTTCTCATGTTCTTCCCTTGTTTCAGCACATACTCCAGCTCCACATAAACCAACTGGAATTGGGAGCAAAACCAGCCGCACAAAGTATTGGCAGAGAATTCTTGCTTTGTGTGTTTGTCTGTTTTGCAGTGCTAGGGATCAAACTCAGAGCCTCATGAATGCTAGGTAAGCATTCTATACTAAGCTATGCTTCAGCCCTGAAATTCCCACTGTGACTAGAATAATCATTTCCAGGGACATCAGGGGAAGTACAAGAGGAGCAAATGTGGTTCCATTCTGAATATAGTGTTCTTGGTCAAGCCTGAGAACTGACCAGCTCCAATTGCAGCTTTCCTGTGTGTTCTGTCTTGATCCAAGTGATGCTGGTATTGAATGAACAAATGGCCAAACAAATTTGATCAAAATGAGAGAGAAACAGAGCAGCCCAGAGAGAGAAAACAAGAGAACAAGAACTAACCTGAGTGAAGGACTAGCATCTTCTCAGGGTCAGCACATTGCAACATTGAAGGGCAACCTGAGCCCTGAATAGCTGTGCATGGTATCTTATACCTAGAATCCCAGCATCCAGGAGGCCAAGGCAGGAGGATTACTATGAGTTCAAGACCAGTCTGGGCTACATAGACCCTATCTCAAAATACAAAATAAAAAAAAAGCCCATGTGTATTGTGTAGATTGATTTCATATGCTAACCCTAACATTCTTAGAGTAGGGTGAGTCAAATAGCAAGTGCAAGCAGATACTACACCTAAGGTATGACTGACTGACTGACTGACTGACTGACTGATTGCATCTTGAGTTTTTAGGAAACTGGCCTTATGGCTTCTGCCAATCAAAATAGAAATACTTGATTTTGCCAGACATGGTAACATACACCTGTCTTCCTAGCACTTGTGAGGTGATGTAGGAGGAGGATCAGGAATCCTTGGCTACATAATGAGTTCAGGAAAGACCAGCCTGAGCTATGTGATACACTCTTCAACAACAACAACAACAAAAAAAAAAAACCAGTCAAAAAAGAAAAAGTTGGGTTTTGGTTTTCTTTTACCCACGTTGGTATGCCAATCCTGTATCTTCCCTGACAGTCTGAAGTCATAGTGTGTTCATTCTGCTGTTTAACTATCTACATCCTCTTCTCTTGCACAGGGCCAGATATGAGGAAGCTATGTGTCCTTAGCCAAATTTTGAAGGATACATCTATAACCATCAATCATGCAGTTATTACCAGCTACAGCATTGAGAATTTTCAACATGAATGTAGATCTATTTTGGAAAAGCTGAAGATAGATGGACAGTTTGTTTTGGCCAGGACAGTAGCAGAATTAGCAGAATTACCTGTGGACAGCTTGGTCATTGAAGAGGTATTGTTAGTTTTTAAATTGTCCAAACTATTTTTACGTGTAAGTTTTGCCTGCATGTTTGTTAAGTGCACTCATGCATGCAGTGCCAGCAAAGGCCGAAAGATGGTCACGGATCCCCTGGAACTGGAGTTACAGATTGTTGTTAGCTGCCATTTGGGTGCTGGGAACTGAACCTGGGTCCTCTGGAAAAACACCCAGTGTTCTTAACTGCTGAGACATCTCTTTCCAGCCCCAAATTATCCAAACAAGATACATACAATTCATAGGAAATGAGGAAATTGAGAGTGTTTTTTACACCTTCACTTTCCATATAGTTGTATCCAGGGTCACCTGTAGCCAGGTTTACGTTCTCTCATTTGATTGGACTTTAGCCAATATGGTGTACCTAGGGAGTATCAACATCAATATACTTCTTTATTCAGGCAAGGCTGAAATTTGCTTTGTTACATTTCACAGATAATCCAGGAAATGCAGACCCTAAAACACATTGAACAGTGGTCCCTGAAACAAGCAAGAATTGACTTCTGGAAAAAATGCCATCAGAATTTTAAGAAAAATTCCATCTCAAACAAAGCAGCGTCTTCCTTCTTCTCCACGCAGGCCCTTGTGGCCCGTGAGCACCCAACTGGGCAAAGCAACATCGGGGAGCGCCATCTGCTGCTCACCCTAGCAGGGCACTGGATTGCCCAGGAAGAGCCTGTTCCTGTGCAGGAGCTGGAGGAGCTGGAGAAGCAGATCTGGGTCTGCAGGATCACCCAGCACACCCTCAAAGGGAGTCAAGAAGAAGTAGAGCCTAGATTTTCTCGAGAGATTTCAACTAGTGGTGAACTTTCCTTCGATAGCTTAGCCAGTGAATTTTCCTTCTCCAAGCTCGCGTCTCTGAACACTTCCAAATACTTAGAACTTAATGGTCTTCCCCCCAAAGAGACATGTGAGAACAGACTAGATTACAAGGAGCAGGAATCACTGAATGTTTTGATTGGACACCTGCTGAACGACGGCTGTGTTCACGAAGCGAGTAGAGTATGCCAGTATTTCCATTTCTATAACCAAGATGTGGCCTTGGTATTGCACTGCAGAGCCCTGGCCTCAGGAGAGGCCAGTGTGGATGACCTACACCCAGACATCCGTGCTCTGCTTCAGAGCACTAAGCTACCTGAGGAAGAGGAGAGCCCTAGCGCTCCTGTACGGAAAGTCCACAGCAGTAAGTGGTCACAGTGTCCTCTTTTCACATGGCATTGTTGGTGCTCTCTCCAAAATGGAAGGGTTTCTTGTAGTGACAGAGTTAACACTAAATTAAGGGGACAGCAACTTTTTTCCAAGTAATCCCTAAACAAGGTAATTAACTAGTCAATGAAGTAGCATGTATTGTTTAACTAGCTTAAATGCCATTTAAAGGAATTCCATTTTACTTATAGCCAGTTCACTGAACTTGTTCTCTATAAATATGTTTACAAGCCAACACATAGGAGGCAGAAGCAGGAGGATTGCCTGTGAGTTCAAGACCAGGCAGAGCTACAAAAAAAAAAAAGTTAGGCAGGAGAGATGGCTCAGTAGTTAAGAGCACATACTGCTCTTGCAGAGGACTGGCTTTTAGTTCTCAGCACCCAAGTTGAGGGGCTCAGGACGCCCTAAATTCTACCTTCAGGGGATCGGATGCCTTCTGGACTCTGAGAGCACCTGTACTCGTGTGTATGTACCCACACACATACACATAATTAAAACCTAAATCTTTTTTTTTTAAGTTTATGATTATACATTGGTAGCATACAGAAATAAGGTAGACTTTTATGTTAATCTTATATCACTTGGCCTTCTTAAACTTTTTTTTCTAGGCATTTTCTTATGAATTCCTTGGGATTTTTCTCTGTAGATACTCATGTCTTTTATAGTGTTACTTCTTTTGTAATCATTCTTTTTCTTGTTTTTGCTTTCTGTACTAGCTAGGCCTTTTACTCCTGTTAGATGATAGGAGGGGTGAGAGTGAGCATGCTGGCCCTGCTCCTGACCTTGAGAGGAGACAGTCTCTGTTATTATATATGATATTCAAGACATGGTTATAGTTTACTTTTATTTTTAAAATATTTTAGTTATTTTTATTTTATGTATATGTGTGTATTGCCTGCATGTAGGTAAGTGCACCCATGACCTACAATGCCCTCAGAGGACAGAAGAGTCTGTCAGATCCCCTGGAACTGGAATTACTGATAGTTGATAGCTGCCATGTGGATACTGGGATTTGAACCTGGGTCTTCTTTAAGAACAGTCAGTGTTCCTAACCACTGAGCCATCTCTCCAGCCCCAGAGTTATAGTTTATTAAAATGCTTTCACCAGGCTGGAGAGATGGCTGAGCAGTTAGGAATAGTTGCTGTTCTTCCGAAGGATCTGGGTTCAGTTCCTAGCACCCACATGGAAGCTAACAACCATCCATAACTGCAGGTCCAGGGAATCCGACACTGTTTTCTGACCTCCATGGGCATTGCATGACACTGGTGCACTTATATACATTCAGGCAATACACTCATAACATAAAATATAAAAATAATGAAGTATTTTAAAATTCACAAATACCTTATGCCAAGTAAAGCACATTTCTTTTTTTTTCTTTTGGTCTTTTTGCGACAGGGTCTCCCTGTTGCCCCAGCCAACCTGGAACTTGCTATGTAGACCAGCTGGCCTTGAATTGACAGAGATCCACCTGCCTCTGTTTCCCGAGTGCTGGGATTAAAGTTGTGCGTCACCATGCCCAGCTGTAAAGCACCTTTCTTATTTCCCCTTACCCACTCCTTTACTCCAGCTGAGTCAGTTGAACCTGGGTCTTCTACAAGAGATAGTTTTTTGTTTTAAAGAAATACTTTATTATGTTGAAGAAATTTACCTATTCTTAGTTTTGTTAAGTTTTTAAAAATTATTATTATGTGTATGAGTGTTTTACCTGCAGGTATGTAAGTGCACCCCATGTGTGCACTGCCTGCCGAGGCCAGAGGAGAACCTCAGATTTTTCAAATTGGGGTTATGAACAGTTGCTAGCTACCATGTAGGTGCTGGGAACCCTGGGTCCCCTGCAAGAAGAGCCAGTGATCGTAACCATTGAGTCAGCTCTCCAGCCCCTGGTGAGTTTTTGCTATTACAAATCACTGCTGACTTTTCTATTTTGATTTCTGCATCTGTTGATTTGATCATGTAAGTTTTTGTTTCCTTTTTAAATTATTAATTTTATGGAGTGTTTTGATTTATTTATTATTATTATTATCATTTGTTTTTTGTTTTTTTGAGACAGGGTCTCCCTGTAGCCCCATATGGCCTGGAACTCGCTATGTAGACCAGGCTGGCCTTGAACTCACAGAGATCTACCTGCCTCTGCCTCCCAAGCAATGGGATTTAAGGCTTGCACCACCACACCAGGCAGTATGTTTTGATTTTTAAAAACTATTTGCTTACTTCTTTGAGAATTCCATATAGTGTGTTTCAATCATATTCATGCCTAATTACTCCCCTTATCTCTTCCTAGTTCCACTCCTAATGTGTTTATTGATTTTTAAAAAAAAATTTTGAAAAAATATGTATGTGTATGGGTGTTTTGCCTGCATGTATATAAGTGCACCACATGCATGTGATGCCCATGGAGGCCAGAAGAGGGTGTTAGATTCCCTGGAGCTGGAGTTACAGTTGTTAGCCACCATGTGGGTGCTGGGAACCAAACCCAGGTCCTCTGCAAGAGCAGCCAGTACTCTTAACTGCAGAGCCATCTCTCCAGCCCGTTTATTAGAATTTATAGGTAGAACCATCTGAACTTGGAAGTTTGATTTTAAATAAGTTCTCTTTTTGTTGTTGTTGTTGTTTAGCTTTTTAAGACAGAGTCTCCCTGTAGCCACAGCTAGCCTGGATTCACTATGGAGACCAAGCTAGCCTCAAACTCAGAGATCTGCCTACCTCTGCCTCTGCCTCAGCCTCCCAAGTGCTGGGACTAAAGGCGTGTGCCAGTGTGCCCAGCAATAAATTCCTTTTTTTTTTTTTTTTTTTTTTGTCTTTTTGAGACAGGGTCTCCCTGTAGCCCCAGCTGGCTTGGAACTCACTTTGTAGACTAGGATGGCCTCGAACTCACAAGGCTCCACCTGCTTCTGCCTCCTGAGTGCTGGGATTACAGGCGTGCACCACCGTGCCCAGCTATAAATTCCCTTAAAAAAAAAGTTATTAGTTTTATGCGTATGAGTCTATTGCCTGCATGTAGATAGGTGCACCCATGTCATGCAATGCCCTCAGTGTCAGAAGAGGGTGTCAGATCCCTGGAACTGAAGTTACAGACAGTTGTTAGCTGCCATGTGGGTGCTGGGAATCGAACCTGGGTCCTCTGCAAGAGCAGCCAGTGCTTTTAACTACTGAGCCATTTCTCCAGGGCATTTAGAGCTGACTTGGTAGCAGTAGATTTTTAATTTTTAATTTGTTTCCTTTTTCATCATTTTTTCCTTATCTGAGACTCTGTTCAACCTTTCTTACTTTTTAAAATATTTTATTTATTATTTTAATTTTCTGTGGATGAGTGTTATTGCCTGTATGTGTGTAAATGCACTCGTGTTGTGCAGTGCCCATGGAATTCATAAGAGGGTGTCAGATATCCTGGAACTGGAGTTATGGACCATTGTTAGCCGTCATATGGATGCTGGTAATCGAACCTGGATCCTCAGCAAGAGAAGCCACTTAACCACTCTTAACCACTGAGCCATCTCTCCAGCCCCTCAACCTTTATTTCTAAATGTTTTGCTGAGTACAGAGATCAGCTCTTTTGGTCCTCTGAGCATTCATCTTGCTCTAATACTAGCTGGCATCTCGTTTTCATGTGAGTTTAGATGTTCTTGCTTTTTTGCACATTGAGTAATTTGGTGGTGGAGGTTCATCCCAAACATTTTGAATAGTTATTATTCAGATATAGTCTTTGAAACTTGTTTTAATACTGTAAAGAACAGTGACTTTGTAGCAGACTCAGGTTCAGGCTGAAGTTCTTTGGGTTGTGGTTCTAACATTGGTGCTGTTCAGGTATGTTCTCTGTGTACATGATACCTAGTGGTCAGCACACGGCCCATACATGGATCTCTTGCAGGAAAGCTCATTAGGGTCAGATCCATACATGTGTAGCCCACAAGTGAGCCCTGAGGGTCATGAGAACATGACTGTTGATTTCCTGAGCTTCTCAGGTGGTAACTTCTGCTTGCCTTTGGCTTCCTGGCCAAAGGCAGAAAATTTCATTGCCATACTCCGCCTGTCACACATTTCCCTGACTAAGCCTACATCCAAGGCCAAGTCACAGGAGGGTAATGTAAAAGCAACAGAGCATTCTCTCTCTCTCTCTCTCTCTCTCTCTCTCTCTCTCTCTCTTGC